GCTCCAGGCCCGCCGGAGTGTGGGAGGGGCCCTTTCTAGTGGAAGCCTGTCCCTGGGTCCTGCTGAGTGCCCTGGGCGCAGGCTCTTGCTGAAGTCGTAGAGAGGCAGAGGTCTCTGGGTTTCCTGGGGCTTAGGTCACACAGGCAGAGGAAGGAGAGGCCCCGTGGTAGGGGTTTGACTTGAACTCTCTGCCTACAGATGAGAGGTACAAAGAGGGTGGGTGCCACCGCCACTCCCAACTCCAGCAGACCCTACTGAGTCCCTCTGGGACTGGGAGGGGGCTGGGGTTGGACCTGAAGAGGACTGTGGGCAAAGTCAGGGCTGGGAAGGGCTCTGGGTTAGACCTGGGCCAGGCACCCAGTGGCTTGGCTTACTGATGGCTCCGTGGTGTGGCCTGGGCTCAGCTTTGGGTGAGGCTCAGGGCAGCCTGCCCAGGGCGTGGATGCTGGACAAGCATGCGAGGGTCCTGCCCTCTGGGCTAAACGTGCAGCCTCACGCAATTACTTCCACAGCAGCAGGCACAGGAAAGAGACTGCGGGCTCGTGGACCTCACATGGGGCCGCAGGAGGGAATGTGATAGGAGCCCCGGGACCACAGGAGTAGATGCACTGGGTCTCCCCACCTGGGCTCTGAAGGTTGGAGGCTTCCTCCTAAGAGCCCGTCCCAACCTTTGAAGAGCACCTGACATGAGGGAGCCTCCACCCCACACCTGCCGGATGCCCCATGTCCTCTGAGGGCTCAGTGTGGAGGAGGGAGCCCTTGAGGACAGGCAGCTGGGGGTGGGGTACGGGTGGAGCTGTGTCCACGTGGGAGACTCAGTCAGGCCTCGCTGATTTCTGAGCCCTCCTTGACCTCTGTGAGATGGCAGCGAGATGCTCCTGCCCACCTCCTTAAGGACGCGGAGCGTGGTGGCCCTTGGAGTGCTGAGGTTGTGCCTGCAGGACCCGTGACCTGGCCCTTATTGGGCTGAGGCCGAGTGCGCAGAGGTAGTGACCAGACCTCGTGCAGGCTGTGGTGGAGGAATGGCCTCGAGTGCTCGAGAGAGGGCGCAGTATATCTGGGGGGGATATTTATGCCACTTCAGTACAAGCCGAGACAGGAAACAGGAAGCCCCAAGGGTGACTTTCTCTGCAGCAACAGCTGCCTGGGGGTGGGGGTGGGGGCGCACCAGGGAGCAGCAGGGGCTCTGTGGGGGTGCAGAGCAGGTGGGGAGTGCCGGTGCATCTTGGGGCCACCTTCCCTAGGACACAGAGGATGGGGCAGAGGACCAGACTTGCTCAGGCAGTCCCCTGGCTCCCCCTTTAGGGTGAGCTCCCTCCCTCCCCACCCTTAGCTCCCTTTGGGCTCTGCCTGCTCAGCTCCTGCCTCCAGCTGATTTCTCCTAAAACCCATTGCTGGCCACCTGCTCAGCAGGCTGCGTCCCTCCCGTATGTCCCTGTGGAAAGGCCCTCGGTCCATTCTCCCTGGTGTCACTCTCTTCCATCCCACCACCCACCCTGGCAGCAGGTCTCGGAGCTCTAAAGTGGAAACTAGAGAGCAGAACTGCCTGGAGACCACAGCCCCCTCCACTCTGCTCCTGCTGCAGTTTCTCTTTCTCTTTCAGTGAGGACACAAGGACAGCGAGTCTTCGTAGTGGGGATCCTCTGAACATGGCCAAACCCTGAGTTTCCTGAGGAGGGACATGGAGCCTCCGTGGGAATGGGGTCCTCCCCTCTGGAGACTGGCCCCCAAACTTGAGGCTCTGAGGCTGGTAAGCTCCCCATCCTCCCCTGCCTGTACCCTGCCCGGCTCCTGCTCCTGTTGTTCCCCATGACCACCCTCCCCAGTCCCTCCTCCGCCATTTCCTGATCTCACTCCCTGGGACCTCAGTCCCAGTCATCCAACTCTCCTGAAGCCATCCAGATCTGCTCGGTATAGCCTCACCCAGGTTAGAGGGACAGGCAGGAGCACGCCAGCCCCACCCAGCAACTTTTCTTTCTGTGTCCCTCACCTCATTCAGGGGCAGCTGCTGAGATGCTCAGCGGGGGATGAGGGCACCTCCTGGGGCTGGGCAGTTCTTGGGGAGCCTTGAGCTGTGCTATGTCTTTATGCAGAAACCCTAGAGCAGGTGGTTGATCTCCACCCACAGCCTTGAGCAGGGCCGTAAACTCGATGGGAGTGGACCTGGGCGTGAACAATGTCTTTGGCAAGGTGCCTTTTCTGCTTGCAGGGAGGTCAGTGCCTCACCAGCCCTCTGGCAGCCATTCAGCTTCTGTCCTATAGCTCCCTGCAGGGCCACTCTTGACCCCAGGACTCCGACCAACCTGTCTGCCCTACCCTGGCCTGTGAATCCACTGAGAGAGATCCTGATTAGACACAGGGTGCTCAGAGGCCCAAAGCCCTAGCCTAGACCAAAGGGGGGCCATCAGATTGTGTGTCTACCAGGGCACTGGTCTCCCTGGACCTGTTGGGGGTGGGGGGGACCCTAGAGATAGCCGAGACCCAGCAGTCACTGTCCTACACTGACAGTGCTGGATGGAGGCTGGAGGAGGGCCATCCCCACCCTATCCCAGGCTCCAAGGATCATTCTAGGTCACCTCTGAGCCTGTCCTGGACCCACCTGAGTCACCCCTACCGGGGCACTGCCAGCCACAGAAGCTGCCGCTTCCCCTCTCTGCCCAGAGGGGGAGACTGAGGCCCAGGGTGGTCCAGGCACCTCCTCCCCTTCATGTTCCCCCTCTCCCAGGCACTGTACCTCCTTCTCCTGGGACCCTCCAGTGCTGCTCTGCCCACGTGCACAGAGGAGGAGTACCCTGTGGGTGCCCAGTGCTGTCCCAAGTGCAGCCCAGGTAGGTGCATCCCTGGGAGGGACCCCCTGAGGGCCAGCATTGTGGACCACGAGTGGACACTCCTGCACTTCCATTCCTGGATCTCTCTCTTCTCCACGGCTACCATCCTGAACATCAGGAAATCCAGGCCCAGGAGACACAGAGAGTGGAGGGCTTGGGTCCCCAGGGCAGTACTGTCTGTAACTTGGACTCTTCACCTATGAGACTCTCACTGCTAGTCTTAGACTCAGAAGGGGACAGTGTCAGGGTAGAGCCTGGGGGTCCCAGAAGGTCCCATGTTTTTCCAGAATTTTCTGTCTTCCCCCATAGTGGGTACACTTCTGCAAGGCAGAAGAGCTGAAATGTCCACTGGGGAGACTTTGAGTCCCAGGGAAGGGGCCACACCTGTGGGAGGCTCTAGAAGTACTGATGAGGGGGGTCTGAGAGCTGGCAGCAGCCCTGAGAAGCTGCCCATCCTCTGAGCTGCAGGGTCCCGTGTGCAGCGTGGCTGTTTCGCGGGTGCCCCCTGGCCCCGG